ATAATCATCATGATGAAATTAAAATGTCATCATTTTTTTAAGTTAATAAATCATAACATTAGTTAGTTAAAATAGATGAGAAATATAACTAATTTTATACACACATAAAGCGTGAGTATATTTCATTAAATGATTCGATTGTAGTAAGTGTTATATTATCCATTGTTCAAATTAATTATAATGTTACATTAACTAAATGACTAAATGTAATAATAATTATTTTTTAATTAATATAAATGACATAAATATTTTAATAACATATGATTACTAAAAGGTTAACTATATAATTTTTTTTTCGCACAAATGAAACATTTTTCTTTTCACCACATTCATTTGAAACTCCCATGACTTTTTAATTTCTTTCTAATAATGATTATAAGTTGGTTAATAAGGTTAAATAAATATCAAACCAAAAGTGTAATCATATATAAACTAATTTCTATATTAAGATAATATATTTACTTCTACTTATAAAGTTATGTCTTTAACTTTTAACATATTATACTTAATTTCTTGGTTTTAATATGTTGTATGTAAACCATTATCATCTTAAAGCTACAACTTTTGAACACTGGATAAATATTTAAATTGTTAATTTAAATATAAGACTACAGTGTCAACTTAAATATAAATTTTAGTTCAACTTAAACAACCAAAAGAGTATTTTGTAAATAGTTAAAAATGATAAATTATAGTGTCTTTCTAATAATGATTATAAGTCGGTTAATAAGGTTAAATAAATATAAAACCTAAAGTGTAATCATAAATAAACTAAATTTCAATATTAAAATAATATATTTACGTCTACTTATAAATTTATGTCTTTAACTTTTAACGTATTATACTTAATTTATTAGATTTAATATGTTGTTGTATATAAACAATTATCAGTTTAAAGCTACAACTTTTGAACAGTTTGGATAAAATACTTAAATTGTTAATTTAAATACAACATTACATGGTCAACTTAAATATAAATTTCAGTTCCACTTAAAAAACCCAAAATATACTTTTGAACATTCTGCGGTTATAAAGACCATCTCTTCCACCATGCTTCTAACGTCACAAAGTTGTTGAGTTTGTTTCAAGTGTTCGACCTTGAGAATGGTTAGGGAGGATGAGTAATCATTATGAATGGTTTGAATTGAGCATTTATGGAAATGATTAATTATTTTTCTACTATTAATATCGATCGACGTTTGAGGAATGATGGAAATGATAAGCGCTAATAAATTAGACTATGTAATCAATTTTTGGAGATAATCGGTTGATAGTGTAGGAAACCATGTTCTTTTAGGTATCGAGACATCGATATTGTCCTAAAGATTGGCTATGGAATTGATTTAGGTCCAATATTCAATGATCAATGAGTTATCAAAAGAGATATGAAGAAAACTCTTTGTTTAACTTAATAGCTTTCGTATCTTTGTTGTCGTAGAAAAGGGTTTCAAGACTTTTCCATACTATTTGGTGGTTGCGTTTTGCTCCAATATTATACGCTGAAGGGACTTAGAGATTGTTTCATAAATCCAGAGTTTGGCGATAGAATTAATGTGTTTCCAGATGACTTGATCTGAGGTGGTGGGAGATTTATCGTTCATTTCATTTTGATAATCGGCTATGTCATATCAGTTGCAGTGAGTTTGTAACGACTTGAGGCGGTCCAAGTCATGAACTAGATGAATAAAATTCTTGATGTTCAATATTCCTCATGGTTTCTCGATGGAAGATGTTGTATTTGTATTAGTCATGGCTGATTGAAGAAGTAATGACAGATTCTCTCATTAATATCAATATATAAATTGAGAGAAAGATGATAGAATCAAATTTTTGATACCATGCCAATCTATTATTTCCTCATAAGATATATTCTCTCATTAATATCAATATATAAGTATGTGCAAGGGAAAAAGGTAAATATAAAATGTCGTATAATACAATAAACATTACATTAAATAATACATATGTTTTGGTCAAAAATTGATAAACTAATTTCATAACCAAATTAGTAAGTATGGTGTGATGTTTATAATAAAATGTTTAAGCTTAAAGTGCTTAAGATCTTGAAATACGTCGAAGATCTTGGTTGTGCCCAAGATCTTGAGAAGAAAACAATGATATTCAAAAAACTGTTTGATAATGTCACTTTGTTTCGAAATGTAAATATGCGTATTTGAAGTAATTAGTACAAAAAATAATGTCAAAGTCATAAAATTGATGAATTTATAGAATAAATCTTAAGATATTCAAAAAGAGTCAATATATTATAAAATATCTCGGTATTTTAGTGAGATTGTGATCATAAAGTCGAATAGACAATCAAGTAAATGTGTAAAAACGTTGTGATCGATCAACTGACAGTAAGTAAATAAAAATAAACACAATAACACAATAATATATGGGGAAAACCCTGAATCCTTTTGGATTTCCAAAATAAAACATCAGGAGGTGATGAAATCACCTGCCTTGGAACTTAAGTTAATAAAAATGTGATTACAAGTGCTAGATGATTTTGTTGTAAGTGTAAAAGAGCTCAAGTGTCAAGAGATATAAGGGGAGAGTAGAAGTAAGAACGTGTGTGTGAGTGGTGGATCCGGTACACCTTTATACATATACATATTAACAATCATTCCGATATGCTAGGGATCTTCCTTGATCTATGTTTGACCCGGTATTCTCGAAGGACTTCAACGTTCATTAAGCTTTGACCACGTGCTTTTGACCTGTTCTATCTCTTTCTAGTCAAGTATGTAATACCTTCATAATAAATTACAAGAAAGACGAAGAAAATCCCAAGATATTAACTAAATCCAAGATCTTGGATTACCCAGGATGTTAGCATAAGTTCAAGATATTAAAAGTGGTAAGAGAAATTTTTTTACCGATAACAATATCCTAACATAATATGCATAAGATATAGCCCATAATTTGGCTATGGCTTCTTGGGATTTAATTTAACATTAGGTTTTGAATTGATGTATACTACTCTTTGTCGTATTTGGGTATTGCTATTGTTCTTGAGGATTAAGGGCTTATGTGGCGGTGAAAAGGAAATTCAGTGAATTCAAAATAAGAGGACATGTATCTAGTTCGAGATAAGAAATTTGGGTGATGTTCTTGTAGGACAAGTTGAAGAAGAGAGATTTTGATATTACTATTAAGAATAGTTTGTCACATCACCATTCTACTCTCACTAAAACTCGAGCAAAATTTTTTTACAACGCATTGAACTCTATAAAGTTCAATGAAAGATATATATATTTAAGAATTTAAAATGTTTCCTTTTTTCCAATTAAAGATTCCAGTGGTCATTGAACTCCATATACGTTGAACGCCAACATGCCATCTCAAAATGGTAGAGTTAATCCATCATTAAATTCTTTCATTGAACTATTTATTATAGATGTCACTTTTAAGCCTAATATTTGTTTGTTTTATAAGCATACATGTCAGGTACCTTAGGCTATACAGAGTGTTTGGGGTTTTGATGCGTTAGGTGACTTGGCAACCCCAAGTCACGTGTGACTTACCTCCAAACACCACCCATGGCTTGTAACTTTGTGAGCATCCGTGAAGCCTGCTATATTCCTTCACAAACGAGAGAGAAATAACCTTCTCTCTATCTATCTCTATCTCTATACATACTTACTTTTGGACACCATTTCTGTTACTAGTGACTTGAAAGTGGAATGATTTTGTGTGATGTGGCGTACCTCTTCCTATTACTACTAACTTGAAGGTGGAATGATTTTGTGTGATGTGGCATATCTTCACACATAAATGCATTGCGATGCATTCCTTTAGGGTTAGAAGTGGAGTGCTAGCATGAAGCCTTTGCGGTTTAGAAAGAGTTACAAGGTATTTATTGATGGAAGATTCAACAAGATCTCTCATTGATTTTGTACATTTCATTTTGTTATAATAGTCCTAAACAATCCCTGAAATAGTAAAATCATTTAGTTAATGATAGGGTAATCGAAATCAACTATTAGACCGGAGGGAATGGTAACATCTTTAGCATGTTGCCACATAAGATTTTTTTAAGGCCATATAGGATTTTTTTGAGCCATGTAAGACGAAGAGAGTGGTAGCAAAAATATAAGAAGTGGTAACCAGTGTTTTGAAAACCAGACCGGACCGGCCGGTTGAATCGGTTCAACCCGGACCCGGCCATGTTACCGGTTTTTTACAGCCCAAAAACCGTTTGTTTGCAAACCGTTAAAAACCGGCAGTTTAGATAAAAACCATAAAAAACCTGCTTGGTTCAAATGGAACTAAAACCCGTTTATTCAACAAACTTGGTTTTTTTCTTATACTCGGCTCAAAGGAGCACTCCTTTTGATAGACTCTATTTGCCTCCTATTTCTTTTTCACCCACCCATGTGGGATGCCTCAAATACAACTTTTCCATATTACTTTACTACTACCTCTCTTACAATATCCACACATATTAAACATATTTACATTATTTATTTTTTACGTTGAATACAAATATTACATTACATATATTTAATTATTTAGACTATAATTTTACACAACTACGTAATGTAAAACACACACTATGTTATTTAATATATATATATATATATATATATATATATATCCGGGTTTTTCCGGTTTTTAGGACCGGTCGAATTAGTTAAACCATCAAACCAATAAGATAAACGGTTTGATGTCCGGTCCGGTTTTCAAAAGCTTGGTTGTAACACCCTAATCTTATGTTATTTTTATTTTGAAAAAGAAAAAGAAAAAAAGAAGAAAAAGAAAACAGTTAGAGGCCTTCATCTTCAAACCTCTTTCTCTTTCCTATCGCTAATAGATTGGCGACTTTCTTATGCCGACATGCTTAACACTTTTGTAAGGAGTGAGCTTAATACCTTAACGAGCTGGAGGCGAGCATGGCTAGCGAGCCACTCCCTCCGGCCTTAATAGCCTTGCAAGATCGTTACATCGTCATGATCTAACCAATAAGTAAAGTGTTAAAATTCATTATGTTGTTTTTATTTTGGTTTGAAAATCGATGAAGAAATCATTTCGTTTACAAACATCTGAATATTCTTGTCTGAGGAACCACCGTCTGCCAAAGCCTCACGCGCCGCCGTTTTCAACTCCGCCGCATTCTTCTTGAACTCTTTCGATTTCGGCCCACTCATAATCTCTTCCACGCATCTTCCCAGTTCCTCCCCTTTAACAAGACCTTCTGAACTCTTCTTGACCTTCACGCCAACACCCCAAACATCAGTCACGAGTTTACAGTTTGTAGGCTGATCAGTCCACTGCGGACATGCAATGACAGGCACTCCGGCAGCTAGACTTTCCAGCAACGAGTTCCACCCACAGTGACTCAGGAAACACCCAACCGACTGATGTGACAACACAACCGTTTGTGGGCTCCACGTCACAATCAACCCTTGTTCCTTGATCTCTTCCAAACACCCTAATTCCGGCAGTTCTTGATTTTCCGGCGGCCTGATCACCCAGAGAAACGGCCGTTTAATATTCTTCAGACCAACCGCTATGCTCTCTATTTCTTTATTCGACAAATTGAGGATACTACCAAATGAGATATAAACAACCGAAGAGGGTTTTTGTATATTTAGCCATTCCAGACAATTATTACTCTTGACGTCACTTCCGAAAAGATCAAAATCTACTTCTTCTTCCTTACCGATAAGCGCAGCCGGAACTAATGGTCCCACGGGCAAAAACACACGGCCATCATCATTTAGTGACATGATGACATTTTTCTCGAGCTCCATGAACGAATTCCCCAGCACCCACTTCACCTTACAGGTATTAGTCAACAATTCTTTTAATATATTGTAGAAACTACGGAACGTATTCGTCGGAAGAACAAACGACGGCAACTCTTCCGCTCCAAAAACCGGCAGCCCCGGCAACTTCACGCTCAAATTCGGGTTACTTTCAGTAGGGAACTCATCGAGCATATTGTAATAACGATAATATATCTGGTACAGGGAGCATGGTTGGATCCATAGCATGGCGGTCGGAACACCAACCGTTGCCGCCACGTCAGCGGCCCACGGCACAAAAGGTGTATTGATGATGCATGCAAATTTACGTGGGTGAGATCGAATAAAGGCCAAGAGGTTAACAGGTCCAAACTTACTTAGTGAATCCAAGTAGTAATCTATATCGGCCTTTCGGTTGTAGTCAATAGGAAGGCCGTCAGAGAAGAACTCGAGGTGGACACCGCCACCAACGGTGGTGGTGTTGGTGGTAGGGGAACGGTGTTTGAGGGCATAGTGGTTGATGGCGAGAGTGACATGTAGGCCTTTAGAAACAAGAAGGTTGCCTAGCCTTAGGATGGGGTTTACGTGACCTTGAGCTGCAAGTGTAACTAGAAGAACATTTTTGTGTCGATTTTGTATGCAAATCGAATCCATGTTTGAGAGAGATAAGGATTTGGGTGATGAGGGTAGGTCGTTAAGCTCGTATCTATAGAGTGCCATATATATAACGTAAGAAGCGTATAACCCCGTTGTTTATAATTGCAATCAACGAGAAATAGCCAAACATAAGGAAACAAATACAAATATAATTATATGTGTTTATGAGCGATCCTTGGATTTTCAAGCCATTCCGTCGAGGTCAACTTGCTCCCTCTGTCCCTACTCGATATCGGAACAAAAAGAATAAAACACAATCAAGTGGCGGATCGCTTGGAATAAGGTATAGTCCAAACAAGAATATGGTGGGATCGGTATTAACAGTCTAAAACCATTGAACTTAATTAGGCCTCCACATCAAGTGGTGGCGTTTCAAGACTTGCAAGTCTTCCTTTTCGTTTTTAGGTACGTGCAAACGCAGATACTTAATTTTCCTATTCAAATCCGAAATTTTCGGATATCCAATTTTTGAATATCCAAAACTTTGGTTTATATTTTGGATATCCAAAAATTCTAACTTTTAAAATTTTTACAACCAACAATGCATTGAACTCCATAGATTTCAATGGATTGGCACATCATCTTTTTACAATCCATACAATTCTATCATTTTTTTCTTACAATGCATTGAATTCCACTAAGTTCAATAGAATACTACAAAATGTAATTATAGTAAATATTTAAGAATTAAAAACTTTCATTTTTCTCATTGAAAAGTTCAATGAGCATTGAACTCTAAATCCATTGAATGCCAATGTGATATCTCATAATGATACAGTTTCATCCATTGAATATGTCACCTCATTCAACACTCTCATTAAACTCACAATTGTGGATACTCTTACAGATAAGACTATGGGAAGTGGTCACCGTCAATCAACCGAAAAAGTGTTGTCTCCTGTGCGTCATGTCAACTTCACCACCAACTCACCAGATTTTGGAAATAGTTGTCATTTCACAATATTCATTTATTTATTTATTTATTTATTTATTTTTTTAACATTATATTAAATAAAAAACATAATTTATAACATAAATAAATTTTTTGAAAACATAAAAAAATTAAACCACATTTCATTAATTAAAAAACGTAGAAATTTAAAACCTAAATTACTAAAATAAACATAAAACATATCAAATAAAACATTACACTACTTAAAAAACATAAAAATTTAAAACATAAAAAACAATAGAGAAATACTACTCATCATCAGATGAAGAAGAAATTTAACCGAAAAAATTATCCATTTTTTTGTTGATTGTGTGTTTGTTTTGAAAGAGTTTATGTATAAAATGAATGTATATATAGAGAGAAATTATATATATATATATATATATATATATATATATATATATAACAATAAAGTTAAATAAAGTTATAAATTAAATTATGTTACCTTACAAATAAATAATGCTTGATAATTTAAATAGTTATAATGTTCCAAATTTAAAAATGTCAATAAGTAGTTTTCTAACTAATTAATCATACGTGTAAGATAACACCAAATCAAGAGCCATATTTAATTTTATTTATACGTCAGTTATAAGTAACACTAATAAATGATCTGATTTTAATAAATTTTGTAATATGGTTCAAAATAATTACAATTTTATATACCAAATTATTATAATAAGTTTTATAACAGCTACATCTAAATACTATATATATATATATAATGGGATAATGACTTGAAAGGGTAACGAACTTTCGAATTTGTTCACATTTAGTCACTAATTTTTTTTCATTATCTATTTGACACTGAGCTATTGAAACTGTTCACATTTTACCCTTATGACCGGTAACAACCGGTCATAAGGGTAAAATGTGAAGAGTTTCAATAGTTCAGTGGCAAATAGATAATGAAAAAAAATTAGTGACTAAATGTGAACAAATTCGAAAGTTCGTTTACTTGTCAAAAAAGTTTAATGACTAAATATGAACAAACTTTCCTCTTGTATTATGGTTTAACAAATTATGTATTTTTGTTAAATTTTTATAACATTTGTTGATGAAGAAATCTATGAAATACAAAAAAAAAAAAAAAAATAAATAAATAAAACAAAACCCCGAAAAAGGTATAAAAAACGAAAAACGAAACCAATATTATATGTATAAGTTTTATGTTATGAAACTATGTAATATTATATGTATAAAAGTTATCCTAATATTATATGTATGAATTTTGTGTTATAAAATTATGCAACACATAATTTGACATACATTAAACCATATACGTTGTTTTAAAAAGAATACATACATACATTGATACATTACATATGTTGTTATACTCTATGTATTGACATACATCATATTAGTATATTTACTATTAAAAAAGATATCGAAAATGAAAGTCAAGTTGTTTAGAATTTAAACATTTTTAATTTACTCGGACAATTTATTATATTTGAGATTGTATTTTCTTAAAAAGTTTGAATAATTATTGAAATTTATGATTATTTAACTAGACATATAGAGTAGTAAAATCGTTAACATCTTTTATGAAGTGTTGCGCCCAAACCACCCCATTCATATTACATTTACAAAAATATTTATTTTTAGAAAAAAAAAATAGTTATACATTTAACAATTAAAACGACACAATAGGTGAGAATGATTCATTTTTTTGTTAAACCAAAATCAGATTGAAAATTTTGATTTTTTATTTTGGAAAATACCAAACTATTGGTTTTTTATTTCGGTTTTGGTTTTTCGTTTTTTCTTATATTTTTTGGGGTTTTGTTTTTTTATTTCATAGATTTCTTCATCAACAAATGTTGTTAGAATTTAACAAAAATAAATAATTTGCTACAACATAATACAAGATGAAGTTTGTTCACATCTAAAAGCAACTCCAACCATTCCACTAAAAATATCACTAAATTGGTGTATTTTTAACACCAATACTTTTTTCTATTCCAACCACACACTAAAAATTTACACTAAAAACATATTTTCATATTATAATATTGAATAGAATAATTATTAAAGTTGTAAAAGTTATAAAACTAACAAAAATAGTATTAAACAATTCAAAAAGATGTTTTGGTGTGATGAATAGTTTATACTAAATATAGAGGTCACTATTCAATCCCACCATTTTTGTGTTGAGTTTAGTGGTCCATTGGAATTGGAACATATTTTCACACCAAAACACTATTTTTGTGTATCCATTGGAGTTGGTCTAAGCATTAATTTTTTTTAAAGGAAACGAACTTTCATTTTTGTTCACATTTAGTCACTATACTTTTTTTCATTCTTTATTTGCCATTGAACTATTGAAACTGTTCACATTTTACCCTTATGACCGGTTGTTACCGATCATAAGGGTAAAATGTGAACAATTTCAATAGTTCAGTGGCAAATAAAGAATGAAAAAAAGTTTAATGACTAAATGTGAACAAAATAAAAAGTCTGTTATCCTTTCAAATCATTATCCCTATACAACACTTACATCTAACTTTCTAGTTTGGTTTTTCTATAACTTATTATTATAGAAAATTTGATACTGCATGAGGTGAAATTAACGGGGTCAATGCTAATATATAATTTATATAATATTATCGAAATATAAGTGACCAGCTTGGACAAACCACTGCTTCATTTTAATACTTTATTATCCAACATTGTACTATTTATTTGATCTTTCCTTTATGAAGTTAGTACTTCATTTAAAATTATTCCTTTTTCATTCCTATATTATTATTATTATTATTTTTTGAAGTAGTGTATCAGCGGCCAATCTTTAGTCTGTTCGGAGTGAAAAGCAAATCACGTGTGAGCTGCTTATGTGGACACCCTCTCCACGCTTGAACACCGCCCCCAACCTTGGTGGGTTGGGCGTGACGTGGCTGCGAAAACAGAAGAGGACGCGATATTTGATTGGTGGGTAAAATTTTCGACCATTGATGGCATTTAATTAAAAAAAAATTTATGTTATATATATATATATATATATATATATATATATATATATATATATATATATATATATATATATATATAGGAACAGTAAAGTTTTGGATTTCTCAAAATTAGTCCTTTTACTTTTTGAAGGTTGACAAATGTGGTTTATATAGCTGGTATTGGTTTTGATAGGTTTGCAGCTCCAATTCTCCAAATCATCCGTGAATTGATACGTGTTTGTCTCCGTTGCTTCGCCGTTCTTTTTTTGTTTTTCAATAGAATCCTTCCAGATATCTCCCACCGCCTTCTTCTCCCATCCACCTCCAATACTTTCTCTCATAAACCTCATCTTTGTTTTCCGTTCCCGACTCCCTCAATCTGGGTTACGCTTGAGTTTAATTTCACCTCCATCTATTTTGGTTGTGTTCTCCTACCATCACCATCGAACTCTAAATAGTACCTCTTACTACCTTCTATAACTCTTAAGGTGGTTTTCCGGTTTTCCCTATTACCATATTTGTAAATATTTTCTAAATTAGCAAAGTTAATGTGTGTTTACTTATTCACCAATTACAACTGATGATGGTAACGATTCTTGATTCCTGATTTCTTAAATTTAATTAAAATATATATCAAACCAATCATAAGCCTATGGAGTCCTTTTTCCATATTTACTGAGATTTTGTACTTATGTATACAATCGCCTGCTTTTCATCCATAGTCACTAACTTCCAATTCTTCTAATAATTTATCGACTTCGCCCTTTACTGCCTTCAATTATGGAAAATTGAAAGCTTTTTCTGATTTAAAATGTGTACTACTACAAGAAATAAGGGCAATAGCAGCGACGCCATTAGCGACGACGCACACTATTAGCGGCGACATGTAATTTGCGCGTTACTTGTCGCCGCTAATAGTGTGCGTCGCCGCTAATGGCGTCGCCGCTAATAGTAGAAAACCACGATCCGTGTCAAAAAGAATTGGTTAACCGTGTTCGTTGATCTGGACCAAATCAAACGGCCGAAAACGATGTTCGCTCAATGTATTCGCGGCGACATCAATGGCGGCGACGGCATCGCCGCTAATGCTCCAA